CTAAGATATATACGATACTTTAAATACTATTAAAGCTAATTATCAAAGAAAAGATTAGGATTAGATGATATTATAAATCAATGAGATGCTCAAAATGCTAAAATAGTTTAATTACAACAGAATATCAATTATTTTAGACAACAAAATACTAATCTTCAAAATCATATTAATCAGTTTATTCAGAAGCAGGATAATTCTCAAAATGATCTTACTTTAATAACTATAACTTATAATAATGAACGGAAAGAACTTCTGAGGTATCAAAAATATGGTAAAGAATTATAGCAAAAATATGATATATAAGAGTATTTATAATATAATGTTACCTTAGCATTAGAAGAACAATCTAAATTCAGTCATATTTTTGAAGTTCTGTATAAATTAAAAAACTATCAATTAGAATAAAAATTGCAGAGGTGTTAGACAAATAAAAGATTATTAGAATATAATTGAGATCAGCTCTTTAATAGATATTACAATAAATTCAAAGATCAAAAGGCAAGTCATAATAGGAAATACAATTTATAACAATTAATTTTGAATTTTAATCAACAAATTTTTGCATTTCAGAATAATCAACCTATAAATAACTAATATAAAGGAATAGCAAAATACGCATCATCCTTATTTTATGGAAAAGTTGAAGAAGATCCTGAAGAATAGATTAGAAATTTTAGATAATATTGTGAAAATTCAGATTTGATCCATTTGCAAATGCTCAAATCAGAATAAGAATTCATAAACTTTTTGAAATTTATTTGAAAGATGATGTATAAGATTGATATAAAACTAATCTCAAGAATAAAAATTGGAAATTGCAAAATATTAGTGACAATATCAACTTGGCCAATCTTAGGACCATTAATAGATTGGCTAATAATAATGCATTGCGCAATATCAATGCTAATCAGTTTAGAGATAGAGCTTTTTAATAAGAAATACAGTTCTAACTAATAACAATGCAATTGCTACACCATTAGTATTAGCTCATACCAACTTTTAATGAAGACTAGTTAATATCTGGTAGCCATTCAACAGAATTAGCATCTAATACTCTTAATATAGAGAAGTGATTCACAAATTATAATCTATACAAATAACACAAATATCTGAATAAACAAATCATTTTTATGTATTACAAATTTATGTAAATATTTATAGATTATTTGATGAATATTTGTAAATACTTATATATTAGTAAATAATCTGTTAGAATAATAAAATTTTTTGAAAAAATTCTTATGCAAAATCGATTTTTTAATATAAAAAATGTAACAGCAAAATATATTTTTTAAAAAAATCATTTTACCTGTCCACTCACTTATTAGTTACTTACTCTTTATATAGTTTTATATCGCATAAATTGATTTAAAATCACGTAAATATCAAAATCTCATTTGTAAAATAATCTATTTATAGTATTATGATATGATATTATAATACATTATTACATTATAATAATGTATTATGATATTGCATTTTAATATAAATATTATAATATATATATATACATTTACTGAAATCCTTTTTCTAATTAATGTAATTAAGTTTATTAATTTATTACTATATTAAAAGATCAAAATATTATATTGTATAATTGCTATATCAATAAATTATGTTAATAAATAATATTCATATTATAAAATAAACTTACATACTAAAATTAGAAATATCTATCATCATATTATGTGATTTACTATGAGAGTTAAAGCCACATTTTAATCCTTTAATACATTATTCCATTTCTTTCATATTAAATTTTAAAAATATAATAACGGCTGAAGAAACTATTTTACTCATATCTTTAAGTGATCAAAATAATAAAAGAGAAGTTATTAATCTAACTAAACCTTCTGATAAACCCTCAAACAAATGTTCTAAAAATTATAAAATAAGAAATAGTAAAATTTTGAATGGTTTAGATTAATCTGAAAGTTCAGTTCAATTATATGTAAAACTCTTGGAAGATCAAAAAATTTGCGAATTCTCTAAGAGGATTACAAAAATTTAGTGAAACTCTTAGAGAATCACAATTTTTGCAGTTTCTCTTCAAATTTTGCAAAAAAATTGCGAAACTCTTGAAGAATCACAATTTTTTGTGATTTCTCTTAGAATTTCATAAAAATATTGCAAAACTTTTAGTCATAAAAATTGTGATTTCTTTTTGAATTTCGCAAAAAAATCACGAAAACCTTGAAGAATCACAATTTTTGCGATTTCTCTTAGTATTTCGTAAAAAATATCATAAAATTCTTGAAGAATCGTAAAAAATTGTGATTTTTTTTAATTTTGCAAAAAAAATGCAAAAATCTTAGAGAATCGCAAATTTTTGCGATTACTCATCAAATTTTATAAATTTTCACAAACCTTAAAGAGAAATTCATAATATTTTACAATTCTTCTAGAGTTTCACATATAAATTGCAGATTCCTTATATAATCAAACTGTAATTTCAGATTAATCTAAAAATTTCAGTTCAATTTAGATTTTTACCAGTCTGCAGTTCAGTTCAGATTCAGATTAACATTTTTAAGATTAATAATCTGAACTGAACTGAACTGAAATTTTCAATTCAAATATGGATTGGTATCTAATTTAAACTGAACTGAACCATTTAAAGCTTTAGGAAATAGTGTTAAAAAATTAAAAACACTTAATAAAACTAATAAACTTAAAAGTTGGGTATAGAAATAGTGTAATCCAGTATTACTTGATAATGGAAAAATAGATGCTAAATGTGTAGTTAAAATAACAGATGAAAAGTTGTGTGTATAGCTTTATCTAAGTAGAAATTTAACAAACAATCTCATTTTACATCTTGTGAGAATTTATCAAGTTATCAAAAATACAAAAATAGAAGGAAAACTTGTATATTTAGTATATTTATTTTTCTATTATTATTAAAAATCATTATAATTAACATTTT